ATCCGGCCGCGGGAGCCCTCCGCGTCCCGGGGAGGGAGAAAGCGCCACGGAGCAAGGAAGACATCAAAGCGGCTTTCGGCGAAGGGGCAACTCTGGAGATGACGCCAAGTAGGTCGGTGCGCTGTTTCGTCCCTCTCGAGGCCGGCTGCGGGGCGGGAGAGCCCCGGGGCGCTCGGAGCCCGCCCGGGGAGGCGGCACGGGGACCCCCCGGCGCCGCCGTGAGGGGAGCGGGGCCGGCCCGCGGCGCAGCCCTCATCCCACTTTATTGACCTTAATCGCTGCTTTCTAAAGGATGAGGCAACTTTAGAAGCTAGTTCGGTGTTCCCTCCCCGCAAAAAACTCCGAAAAACGTCCCACGAACTTATTTTTTCTTCCCCCTTTGAGACGTTAGTGCTTGGGGCCAGAGAGGTGTCGGGAAGGCGCAGCGGATGACTGATCAGCACTCAAGGTGCTGTAGGAGCCGGTATATTCCCTCCGTATGGAAAAGCGCTGTGGAAATTTAAACTACTTTTTGGCACGGGTGTTTACGAGTCGAGTTTGTAATGAAAGTGCCGCGAGCCCTTGGCTGCCGCGTACCTGTGCGTGCCGCAGCGCTCACAGGCCTGGGGAAACGCTGCTTGTCGCGGTGCGTTTCCATCTCCCCTGCTTAAAATCACCAATATTTGTACAAATTAAGTCTTGGAAGTGATTGGTGCGTATGCACAAACTTAAGTACAGCGCTTGGTAGTGTTTTTAACCGTGCCTTGGTTAAAACCTACGAAGGGGTGTTTGAAAGTGAAAATACTCAGCACAAGCCACTTTCGTTGCTATTTTCCATGTTCCGTTTACTCTTTATTTGTGGTGTTTACTCTTATACCAAATGACAAACAAATGTAATGAATTTCCAAGCCCAGGAGGGCCAATTAAGAACCACTGCTCTCGCCCAAAACCGACAGGATTGGGAAGTTCTCAGCACCCTTAAGGATCAAGCCAGGATGCATGTGCGTAGGCATGATTACCAGAATATTTTATGCTTTATAGAGATCTTTTAAATATTTAAAAACAGCTGTAGCAGAGTGCTTTCAAAACTCAGGGACGGTTTGTATGCTTGCAGTATTATGTTCCCATTTCCCATTAACTAGCAGCTGTTGTTGTTTTTTTAGGAATAAGGAGGGAAAAAAAAAAAAAAAAAGCTTCCAGAGGCTATATGGATATAGTGTTTGAGGAAAAACGTGAGATTCTGCTAATTGCGTTTGTGCTTCTGAAATTCAGGAAAAATAAGATTTTGGTGTATTTGCTCATAGGCCAACTCCTGATAATTTCGAATTCTGCAGCATTTGCTTATCTAATCCCTTTGTCCCTGTAAAAGTCTATGGGAACTTTACAGTGGAGTTTCAGTGGTGTCAGCGTGATGCCACTCAGCTGTTCTGAGCGGGTAGCTGGACCTGCTTCATACTGCAGCCCTCTCTTTGCATTAAGCACCATTTTTTTAATTCAGAGGTGAGACGCACAAAAATGTTAAGTTGTTAAGGCAAGGAAATGAATAATAATAATAAAGGGCAACTCCGAAGAAAGAGGAAATCTTTCAGTATGCTTTTCTGACCCCAGCCAGCAGGTGTTTTGGATCATCAGCCAGTTTTGTTTCAGGCTATGCTGAAAATGTTTCCCATGCTGATATGCCAATGAATTGCACAGCTTCGCGGGCTGCGTGTGAAAATGATCTTAATTTCGTTATCCTTCTCCTTTTTTGTCATGTTTGCTGTTACAGATGATTTTAATTGGAGACTTTTGTGGAGACGTGGACTGTCCTCATTGCGTTTGTTTGCTCGGTGTTTAATGTGGAGAGGAGCTATTAACACAGAAAATGGGCAAACCTCTTGTATGCAGCAGCAGAACAGCTGGTGGTTCCAGAATACCGTATTGCAAGGCAGATGTGCCAAAAGAGACCCAGAGCCCTTCCATTTGTACGGATACCGTCCCAGCCGTGCATGCACCTTTGCTTTTAGCTTACTCATCCCAGGACAGAGCTGTAGTTAAAAGGTTTTACAGTGCTCCTGTGTTCATCTGCCCATTCCCTGCAACTTTCATAGAAAACTTGTGTTCTTTCTTATAAAGAGTTTTGTTAGATCAGGTCATTGTTCTTACTAAAAAAAAAGATGCTCGATACTTCATTTGATGAAAATAAATGCTCCTGGTCCTAGGAGTTTTATATAGATAGCTCTTTCTACCTGATTCTTATTTAAAGCATCAGAAGGGATACAAAACCAAGAATATGAAAGCAGCTAACGCTGATTATATGTATCTTGTGTTGCTTTTTGTTCATATACAGTACTATTTTTGATTAATGAGGGCTCTTGGAATCAGGATTAAAAAAAAAACCACTTGGTCAAAAGTTTAGCTTAGACTGATATAATACAAATAGAAAAAGATATATTGGGGAAGTTTGGTCTGAACTCTTTTATTTGCTTTCTGGCCCCAATACTTGCTGATTACATTAAGTTAGTGCTGATGCCAGAATCTCTTTGCTCTTTCAGATCATTTAGCAGCAGAAAGTGAAAATGCTGTTATTTTCAGTAAACTACATTATTATGACATAATTACAACTAAGAACAATAGTTGTTTTCTTTAAATATCTAGAAAAAAAACAGGGCTAAGCCTTTGCTTCTCACAGTATTGGGAGACCATGGGATGGTCTGTAACTTTAGGGGTTATTTAGAGCACCTGGTGGTAGAAATTTTTCACTTGGGTTCAAAACAGGAGTTCCAAAGTTGTTCGCAACAGCACCTAGGGCAAACTGATAACTTTATCAACCTCCGAAATATACGTCTGATTTCCTTGGACAATATGTGAAAGGGATCTCTGCCAGAGTTTCCCCCTGACAAGTGGTTGAGCTATGGAGTGCAAATTTATGCTGAATCTGTGAAAGGGCAACATGGACTGTCCTTTTTTTCTTTGATTTACATTAAGCTGCAGGCTTAATAGTATCAATAGTCAATGTTTTTGTCAAGCTAGTTGTTATACATGGTTTGTTTCTTGACGGAAATTTGGAGGGGGAAAAGAGAGTTAACTTTGATGACAGGTTTTTGTAACTCTATGAAATGACAGACCTCGTAGAAGATGGCAGCAAGCATAATTCTTCTGGCCTTCATGGCTCATGTATTAGAGGACAGACTAATAGGAGGAGTATGGATAAGATTGGCCTGGTGACAACCGTGCTGAGAGGTACATTTTCATCTTGAGTAGAGGCTGTGAAGCATCACCTTCAAGATTGGGAGCTTTCTCTTTAATTACTCAAAATGTGACTCAAAATGCATTCCGATTGCAACCCGAATGAATGGGGAGAAAAGTGGATGGGACTGACTCATCCTGCAGACCGAAGTGAGGATGGTCCCTGCTGAAGAAATGGCCCGGCACAGCCCCAGCTGAATTTCCAAGGGTTTTCCTAACAGGAGGGTTTTCAGGGAGACTGATGCTGATACACTGGAGCCTTACCGATTGGTTTTGTGCAACTTGGTGTTGAATCACTGTTGCCTTAAGCCATTGCTAAGACGAAAAGCAGTGCCAAGGTCATTGGATGGCCGGAATTACGTCTGGAGGGTGAAGGGAAGGATCTGTCTGAACCTGGTGGCTTTCCTTGCTGCAGCAAATACTCTGCAGTTTTGTATCAGCAGTCACCAGCCTAAATTTCACTTCCTGCTCCTACATTCTGTATTTACTTGATCTCTAAATTTTACTAATAATATAGTTCTGGTTAACCAGAAAGATGGCCAGTCTCTGTGTTTTACTCTCATGTCCTCTGTAATTTTTCTAAAATATAAAAATGCTTGTGTTTGGATGTGGACAGAATTTGTGTGAATATATGTGTGTGTGTGTGTGTGTACCAAATCCTAATAAAAGAATAGACTGGTAATTATCAACTCTTAGTTAATCTTATGTATGTTTTCCAGCTCAGCTGTTCAAAACAAGATGCGTTGGCAAATCATTCTGATCGTGTTTGTGCTGTTGGGTAAGTTACCTTAAACATTGTTTTTAAAAACAGGTATATTGTAAATTAGTGTGAGGTGAAGAGTAGTCTCTGTTTTCATGATACAGTGGCACTTAAAAACATTCTCCTGGATGGGAATCTTTTCACAATATGCTACTAGAATATGCAAATAGTGTGATTTTTTCATTGTGCAGAATCAAAACATATTAAAGCAAATGCCTCAGTGAAAATGTGCAAAGATTAGAAGTTTATGAATAATTTATTCTGTTACCTAACAAGTCCAGAAGTGGAAGGGAAAATGCAGGTGACATAGCAACTGATTGGAAAGTTTGTGTTTAGTTCAGGATTGCCCCAAGTTCACTTTACATTTTAGTTCTGTATTTGTACACAGGCACATATACTATATCTGCTTTCACGTGCACAGTGCTGCTGAAGGGTGCTCAATTCACTGTAAATGTCGCTAAATACAGTAACTTGTTTTTATATTTGGGAAATGTCTATGACAATATTGGTGTATGCTGTTCAGAGACAGCTGCCATTTGCCTTCCTCTCATTTTCTGGATTAAGAAAGTAACTGTTTAAAAGTTTGTGATGATGATTAGAGAGAAAGAAATACTATAATCCAGCAAAGTTAGTTTCAGTTGGTGGCTTTTCACATCTTCACAAAAGATGAAGAACTCATCAGGCAATATACATACTTTTATCTACTTGGTATCAAATATTGCACTTCTGAAAAATACTTTGTTAAACACCTTGCATAATGTGAACGTTTTCTGTACCTTTTAATGAAAGTACCTGGATGCTTTGGAGAGCTTGCTTTGGAGCCGGGTCTCACGGATTGCTGGCTAGTGAGGAGGCCACTGAGTGGCCATCCTGCTCTGTTTCCAAGCAGGCAAATACCCATGAGTGTCATCTTGGTAGCCTCGTTAACCTAGGCATGGAATTATGGTGCCATTTGAGAAGCAGAACCATGGCCTGCTGTGTGTCTGTGTTATGGACAAACTGTTTCATCCATACCTGGAAAATATTCTTAATGCATGCTGTCTATCAATAGGTATATGCTAAGATTTATTAAAGGACTTCTAAGAACTATAGCAACCAATCCTGTGCTCCACGATCTGTATTGTACTACACTATAGTTCCTTCTTTTATGTACTTCTGAAGAAATGATAACTAGCTGCATACATTTTGAATTTATAGGATTTAGCTAATCCCATGACATCTGGTATGATACATAAGGGAAGGGGAAGGTCTTTTAGAAATATTTATTTATATATATGTATTTACAAAGGCACAAACTCTGCCTTGTTAAGCAAGAGAAGAGAAGGGAGCAGAACCTTTTGGGAGCCTGGTAATATAAATTGTGTGTAAGGAAAATGAAATCTCTCAACACACCGGATAGTAATATGTATCTGCTTTTAGTGCATCTGCTTTTGAAAAACTTCCCTTTTATAGTTCTGTATTAGTTAGCTTATGCTTATATCCTATGAATGAAACAGTGATAGTGGCAGAGAGAAGTTTTCTTTTGTTTTGCAAGGCACTGAACGTGAATAAATTTCTGCACAATAAACTGTTTAAAGTTTTCATGCCTTTACTGAGTTAAATGTTAGAAACAAGGAAGTACACAGACCAACCCCTTGTCTTTCCTTTACTAGAGCTTTAATCTTTGGGATTTGTTCAGTATTTTACAGTAAGCTATTTATGAAAGATGTGTTCATCATTCTCAAAGTCATTATTAGCGTAATTCAAACTATGACTTACCAACAAGAGCTACAACAGTGGTCAGAGGGATTTTATTTGGAGGAATCCAAGTCTGATGGAAAAGATAATGGTTTTCCTGCATCTCATTTCCCAGATAATGCCCTTAGATTGTATAGTTGCCATCAAGTCATATGTCCTTGTGAAACTCTTCTTTGGGATTTTAAGAGGTGCAAAGTATCTCTGTCATTTACAATGGGTTTTATTTTTTTTTCCTGAAACAATGGAGTCATATCATAAATATCTGAACTGCAAACGTCCCCATACTGCAGGGAGATAGACTCCTATCTGTAAAGTGCATGAACTCAGATTTAGGAGTCGCTGCGCAGGAGGGATGCTTCCTCCCTGTCTTGGTCTTTCAAGAGCCTGGGGAAACAAAAATTTACGTGCAGTGGGGCAAAGGTTGGTGTCTGTCAGTTGTGAGACACCACCTCAGAGGGGATGCTTACAACGACTTTTGTCTCCAGTGTGGGGACTAACCCCTGGAATTTGTTTAATTTTCATTTAATGCAACTATTTCTGTTTTATTTTCGTATTTGCAGACTTCCTTCACATGGCAGTCGCCCGTTGTATGGTCTATCAGATTCCTCCCAGGAACTTTTCATTACCTTGTGTGCTGCTGAATGAGACACTTCTGAGTCCTCTCTCTGCTAGAGCTGTAGCAGGCTGGTCTGGTTTCAGTACAGAGCGTGGAGCTGCTGGAGCCAATTCTCCCTGGATAATGACTGAAGAAAGTTTTCTCTGTTGCCTTTGGGGTGATAATAACATTGATTGCTCTTTGTACAGAGCAAGCATGCAAGCAAGGATGTTTATTCCTTCAGAAACAAGCATCTCGGCTTCTCAGGAGACGGGTAGGTTTTTCATTCAAGAGCATAATCAGTTATTAGTTCTTCAGAAAAGAAGTTTGAGGAGTCATTTTTAGGCAGAGCAGACCACATAGTATGGTCAAAGCTTTTCTCACAGAAGCCTGCAATGAAAGCAGGCTGGAACTGAATAGCATAGATTCAAAGGAGGAAAAAATTTTGACTGTCTTTCTAGGGGAGAATTGAATAAAATATGCAGCACTGCATATGTGGACATAAGCCGAGGTCTTGGAAAGTGTTTAGCCACTATAGGAAATAGTTTAAATACTTCTGCAGTTGCAGGCTTTAAACTCCTTCAGGAGGAGGAGGAGGAGCCTGGGAGCTGTCTCTTCTGCCTGGACTGTGAAGCCTTTGAAAGTATCTGTTCATGAATTAAACTGTATTTTTTTTTTCCTGGAGTGTTTTTTCCTTTCATATACTCAATCTTTGAGCAACGTACTGGCCTGCTGCTGTTGGTGGCAGCAATCCCCTTGACTTCAGGAGAGTAGAATTTCATTTTATAAGAACTGTCTTATGGAAGAAATAAATGCCTTTTGAAGACTGCTAGACTAAATCGTTCATAAATATTTGCACACAAGATGCCCAGCAGCATCTTGATGGATATCTGTTAAATGCCCTCTCTTTTCGAGTGGATTTTACTCTGGCATTTCAATTGTTTCTTGGTCTTAATATAGTTCAGAAACATTTAATCCCTTTCTTCTGTTTAGATTCAAATTGGAATATTGAATGCTGGGTTAAAGGAGACCTGGACCTGTTAGTCTGTGGCCTGCGGTTTTTGAAGTTGTACATGAGACCTGATCTGAAGATTAATCTTTTATATGCTGTGTAAGTACAGACTATGTCGAGTTTGTCACTGCTGCTATCAAGAATCTGAAAGCATTTTCTCAAGCACCAATTGTGGTCTCGCAAGCTGGCAGCACAGTGGTGGTATCAGCTTCACAGGCAGAAAATCTTATGCTCTTTTCTTGCAAAACAGTAATCGAAGACAGCATGGAAAGCTTCTGGTTCTGCCTTTGAATAAGAAGTGATTAGCATTGGGCAGTTCCTCTTCTCTATCCTTTCCATGTGCCTTTCTTAAAAGGGTTATTTTAGGTAAGTCAGTGTTGGCTTGCTACAGTATCTTTGCTTTTACAGATGCTTAATTGTGAAGTTGTGATCTTGGTTCTGCCTTTTTTATGCTTTTGTCCAAAATATTATCCATCTTGAAGTAACTGATTTTCGTACTTAATACAATGCCCAATGCTCCTCTAATCATTTGGAGCCTCTGAGGGGTGAGCAGCCACCCGCGTAGCTGTCGCTGCGGCAAATGTTCTTGGGAAAGGTAGTGCATGTTAATGATCCTGATTACTGCTCTGTGAGGTGGGCAGGTCTTTTTGTACACGACCTCTTCGATTTGGTCTTAAAAGGATCTATTTAACTCCATATTTATTTAATAATTTAATAATTATTTAATTTTAATATTTAATAATTTAATTTAATGATTATTTAATTATTTAATAATTAATTTAATTCCATATGGAATTTTCTGTATTACTGATGGATTGGAAGGTGTCATACTTCCTGCCAGGAGGAAGTGTCATTATAGCCAGCATGACCACACAGACTAAATTTCCTTGGGAAACAGGCTAAGTTCAAATAGTCGCCATGCTGAATTTACAGGTGACAGCTTCTATTTAAAAAGTCCGATCTGGATGACGGTTATCATGTACCACAAATTCTCCCTGTTGTAAGAGTAGACAACAGCTTTCTTGTCTAGTAACGAATGTGGATTTTCAGTTGACAGAATACTTTAAACCAGAAACCAGATTTCAAGTGGGTTCCTGTTTCCAGTGTTCCTCATGACCTACAATTCTGAAATACCATTGCACTTCTTTTTTTTGTGGGAGAAGTAAATCTGCCTTTGTGTCTGTTTCATCCACATTCTCATCTGAAAAATAGAAATATGTTAGCCAGTAATCCTAGCGTGGTACTCTGTATATTGATTTTTGGTGTGCCTAATGCCCATGGAACAGCAAATTCAAGTCCCAGCTGGATGAAGAGGTTCCTTGTCCTACAAAGGGAATTCAGCCTCATGCAGCTGAGGCAAGCTGACCATACAGGCTAACAGAAGTCCTGGTGGCACTTGTGTATTTGATTACTTTCTGTGTGAGGGCAAGATGCAGTGAGGCCCCTGCCTTTGGAGAATTGTTTTGCTTTCCAGAGTTCATGTTAATGTTTGTCTTTCAGGGTCTCTGTGTTCTGGGAGAACAGCTAGCAAAACATTTCATATTTTGGTAAAGTGACAGCTTTCCCAGTTGGCTTGCTGATACCTTAACATTTTATTCATATGAGCCAAAATACCTTGAAAGCATTCCCAGTTTTAAAATATGCATTCCTGGCATTTGTTACTCCCTGGGAGTCTGGAGATCATGCCAGGATTCTCACATATAAGACAGACAAGCTACAAAAATAATGACCTAGAAGAAACTACAAGAAAATACTTGGGTTCTCCCCAGTTTTGAGTTTTTCAACATTAGAAGTATCATTTTCATTTTACACACCCACAATTTGCCTGCTTATAATGATATCCAGTAGCGTTGAACAGAAAATGCTTTGTTCAGTCTGGGGCTGTTTCCTCTATGAGAGGCTCAGACAGGAGCAATGATGAAGCTTTTGACCTTTCCTAGCAGCCTCTTTTGGGGGAGTAGAGAGTTTATTCTGAAGTGCAATTAGACAAATTAATTGTCTGCCATAAGTGAAGGATCTTTGCAGTTGTATATGCTACGAAGACTGTAAAGCCTGCTTAGTAATTGAATAAAATGAAATCAGTTAGCCTCAGGGTGCCTTCAAAGGGACTCAGGTGAATTCACCTGTGTCAGCAAGTATCAGTGAATTTTGAGCACTTGTCGCAATGTGCCTTTTCTGTAGACAGTAATGAATACTAATTTAAGATTATTACTAATTTTAAGATTAGTTTAGCTTAAATTACGACTAATTCTGAGAGGGGACCTGAGCAGTGTCTAGAAGTACCTCAAGGGAGGCAGTGAGGAGGATGGTGCTGGCCTCTTTTCACTGGTGGCCACCGACAGAACTAGAGGTGATGGCCGGAAACTGAAACACCAAAAGTTCTACAGGAACTTAAGGAAAAATTTCTTGACAGTGAGGGTGCCAGAGCACTGGAACAGGCTGCCCAGAGAGGTTGTGGAGTCTCTGGAGATCTTCAAACCCGCTTGGACGCAGTCCTGTGCCACGTGCTCTAGGTGACCCTGCGTGTGCAGGGGGTTGGACTAGGTGACCTCTAGAGGTCCCTTCCAACCTTAAGCATTCTATGATTGTGAAGTGTAGCTGAAATACAAAACCTTTAGGAGCTGGAATGTGCAGAACTTGGAGCAGAACAGAAAGGCAAGCCTTGGAGAGCAGCCCGTGTTGCAGCATTATTTTCCTTTGCGGTTCAGAGCATGCAGTGCTTTTTGGTGGTAGGGTATTTTTTCCCTTTCCTCTCTTCCTCTGGAGTCTCCTAAATTCAGTCCTGTGTTTCCATCTTGAAGTCATGTTGCCTTTGCACATCTGCCCTCCCCTGTCAGTCAGCCCCCCAGGTGGGCTCTGCTAACCCACACAGAGGTGTGTGTTTAGCCCCTCTGGTTCTTGCGTTTCCCTCTGTGCCACAATAAAACATCTCTCAATTTCCAGCAGCCAGCAATACAAAACTAATCAGGGACATTAATATCTGTGAATATATTTTCTAAGCCCTCTCCCCCTGCCCTTGCCGCGTTTTTTTGGATTTGCCTGTGTTTGTGTGATATAAAGCTCCTGTTGAGTTTCTCTCAGCTTGTTCTCAGTGTAATGGAAGGTTTCTGTTTTTAACTGCCTGCTGCTTTTGCTTTGTTTCAGGTTTCTCCTGAGTATTTCTTTGATTCTGCTGCATGAAGGCACTGCCCCCTCCTGATTTCTGAGGGCTTCATGAGCACAGGCTTGTCTAAAATCAGTGTTTGTAGTTTAGCATCAGCAGCTACTCTAGGCCTGGGTCTGTGTGCAGCCAGAGCAAAGGTGACGGGCTACCCGTGCGGTCCCCAGCTGGGGCAGTTCTCCAGAGCACTTCAGCTTTCCACTCGTTTGCTTCAGTTTGGGTCACAAAACATTTAGCCCTGGCTTGGCAAGTCTTTCTTGGAGCTGGGAGCAAATTGATACAGTCCCTTTCCTGAAGCTGTCTGCTCTCTTATCCTGAACTCAGTTTTGTGAGTTAGTCCCTGCGTCTTTCCAGTCTGCTGAAATGCAAATACAATTATCCTATTTGTTAGGTTTTGGATATCTTCCTCCGAGAACAGAGTGTACCTGGCATCTGGTAACATAGCTCAGCCTTTTCCTGTGCTTTGTGCTAGTGGCCTGGAAAGGCAGGGAGGTGGTCGGAGGAGGAGGAGGCTGCGGTATGAAGGCAAGGTGCTGGTGGTTTTCTGTCTCGAGTGGTGCAGGACCTGCGTGGCACGGAGCCACGGTTCCGCTTGCATCCCTACAAACCCAACAGAAAGCAGCAGAGGGAGAGGAAGGAATAACAGCCCGTGCCTGTTTGCTCCTGAACAGATGACCTTCCAGACACAGCATTAGCACAGCACAACGCATGAAGGCTCTGCTGTTCTTTCCTAGACAATCTTGGTGCCTGTTAGCTCACTTCAGTTGTTCAAATTTGAAATAATCACAGGAGTGATTAGGAAAAAGGTGTGTGAGTGGTAACTAGCCTTCCAAATAGGTCTGCTTTTACATGGTTAAAAGACACAGGTGAGGCTGATTGTGTCAAATGAGCAACATTACAAGGCCTGAGTGAGCTCTGGCTGTTTGTGCTGATGCCTGGGCAAGCAGCAATGCAGAGGGCAGTGTTCCAGCGCACCGGGGCCTGCTGCGGGCGAGGAAGTGAGAAAAGTGAGGGATTGAAAAGCATGTTGGCACTGAGAGCTTGGCTCTGAGCTTGGATCAGCTTTAGGGCTGCGTCCAGGAGCCCAGAAGGCAGAAGCAGCCTCGGAGGTGTTTGGAGTGAGGCGGAGGGAGCCGCGTGATGCCCGATGGCTGGGCGCAGCGTGGTGAAAGCCCCGCTCCGGAGGGATGGGACCCAGCCCCGCTCCGGAGGGATGGGATCAGGGCTCTCGGCGCTCTACCAGCTGCAGCACCCGCTGCTCTTGCCGCTGTCCTTGAAGGGTATAGATGTGCTTTGAAATGCTGCAGTGTGCAGGCTCATTGGCTCTTTCACATCTCAATTTTCTGTATGCTGTAGATGGGCAAAGGGGTTGGGGAAGATCCTGAGACACTGGTGACCCTCGTTTCAGGGTTTGTGCTCCTGAAGCGCAAAGGGAAGCCTTAGTTGCATACTGGCTTATTTAATATCTTTCCATAATGTGTAATTGTTATAAGATATTTTCAAGTTTTTTGAGACTAGTAGTCTTCACTGACTACAAAAGCTGAGCTATTGCAGTGCTAATTTAAGTACAGAGTGTAGATTACTGTAATTTGGTATCTTCATGGAAGTGTTATTTGAAAGATTGAAACCTGTCATTCACAGCTGTACTCACTGCTAAGCCATAGGAGCAAGGCTGGATCTGGTGGAGGTTAATTAGAAATAATTACAAATTTGTTAAGGGTTGACTGTGTGGCTGGTTTCCCTTTTTTTTTCTTTCATTTTTCCTCTTTTTCTTGAGACGAATTCTAAAAGCAGTGAGCAGTGCTCGAAGGCAGGGAAACATGAAGGAATCTGTGAAGTTTTTTTAAAGTAATGAAGGAGAAAGAAGTGGGACCGCATTGAGGAGAGAAAAAGCACTCCAAGAAATACAGAGGCTGTATGTCTGCCAGGTACTATTAGCATAAAGTTGCTTACTACTTGTGTCCCCAAGTCTGTGAATGCTGGCAGGGAATACTGTAGGGAATACTACAGGGATGCCAGTGCCGACTGGCTGTAGCTCTAACAACTGTCAACTACTCAAGACTGGAGGGTGGTAACAGCAGAGCACAGCCCTTTTGAGCTCCCCATAGTTTCCAGCCTTTCAAAATCACATTTCTTTTTCTAAATAAGGCAGGTTGTGGTAACATGATCAGTGAACCATGTGTGCTTCCCATGGGCTCAATTGATTGGAAAACAGAGGCAGAAAGTCATTATCCCTTTTCCCCTGCCAAATGTGGAGTTCTCATCCCCTTCCTGAGCTCAAGTGGTAAAATGAATCAGCTCAACTATGAAGGTATTTCAAACTTGGGTAGAAAGGTTCTTGTTTTATTAATTTACTTTCTCTGCATTAATAATTAAGTCATTGCTATAGAGAAAAAAATCCTAAATTATTTAAGAATAATTCAAAATATGATTTTATTTATAGAGCTAGGACCCAAAGCAGAAAGGCGCAAGGGATGGCTTCTGGAATAGATGGGAACTGCTGATTGCTCTCAGTATAGAAGCAGCTTTGGGTCTACTTGTGCATTGCCTATAAATGGGAAATAATTTGACTGAAATTAGCAGAGACAGGGATTGAAAACACCTGTAATGCAGTAGCTTTACATTGCTGTAAAGATACATGGAAAGCACCCTGGCTTGAAAGGAGTCTGTGTACTGATGTGAATATGGGAAATTGCCTGGGGAAAATGGCAATACCTATTTCACAAGTATAACCTAAATGTGGTGGCCGGTGCTCCAGTGTGAATGCATATGCTCTTTTTGTATCCTGTATTGTGTATCAACAAGAGACATAATGCATGGATGCATGTATCTGTATGCACTACTTATTTTGTTATCTGTTTCCTTTAAAATCTAATGAAATCATGTTATTAGGAAATTTGACCAAACAGTTTATGAAACACACATTATGTCTGTGCTGCAGTGCATTATTTAAAACTATGAAAGTTTCTTGCACCATGCAATTTTTGCAGATTTTATGAAATCAAAGACTGTAATGTTAAACACTCCAGTAAAAAGTACTGATAGAAAAAAAAAAAAAGAAAAAGGGAAACTAAATGTGGAGATTCGGTCAAAAATAGTCTCATGATATTTATCCTGAGAAGGAATCAAAGCAAAATGCAATAAGAGTTACTTAGCAAAATAGTTTCCATAGGCATGTCCAAGATAGTAGTGGTCATATTTGTGATTAAATAATTTGCTTTCTTAAGAAAAGTCAAACTATCTAAGAAGCAAACTTTGCCAAAACAGCTGAAGTCTTAGCTTAGCATTAACTGTACAAAGTTATGACTTTCTTTTGTTTTTTTTTCCCCCTCTCCTGGGGAGGGGGTTACATAGCTTCATTCAGCAAAGTTATGACTTTCTTTTGTTTTTTTCCCCCTCTCCTAGTACTGTAAGTTGTTGACAACTAATTCTAAAATGTATTGTGAAGGGTGGGGTTACATAGCTTCGTGTAATTGCAAAACTTATTTCCTCTTCATTGGAATAAGGGCTTTTGATTATTATGTAGCTTAGGAAGGAATATTAAATATGTTTTGTTTTTTACTACTGTGTCTTATGACTAGGAATTGGAATGTAATCTCTACGAGGGCAAGAGAATTCCCAATTTGTCTGCTCTAGGGTAAATTTGTCTTCCTAAGAAGCATCTAGTACTAGCTACCACCAAGAGCTGGAAACCAGACCTACAGAGCTATGGATCTCATCTAGTATGGTAACACGTGTTTTTTAAGGTCAACCCTTAGGAATAATTGTCATGAAGTAGGTTAACTACTTTCCTAGAAAAACATTTAAAAGAGGAGAAGAAACAAAGCAAAATCAGTCAGTAAACATTACTGCCTTTTTAGGCAGCTCATCTTTTTTAGTAGTTTTTGCTGTAGATAAATCTTATCCAGAAGGTCCAGAAATGCCCTCTACTAAAACAGACTCTCAGCACAATTACTTTTTCTTTCCTTTTTTCTTTCTTTTCCTTATAGATCGGAGCTGCCGCTGGGAGAAGTGTCCACGAGCTCCCTGAAAGGGACTGTAAGGGCTGCTCCTTGTGACCGCAGTGCCTACGACACCTGTGAGTGCTGCATTCCCTCCCCAAGACTCAACTCCACCTACATCCTGTGGCTGCAGGTCACGATCGGTGTGACACCCCTTTGGTCACCCCTAATGTCTGTCAAGCCCATCAACGTGGGTGAGTATTTGGTATCGTTGCTCACCAGTAAGCTGCAGGGGTCAGCTGCATTATTTGGTATTAGTTTGGTATCATTACTCCAGAGTTGCAAATCTTGGCAAATTCCAAAAATGCAGGGGGAAAAAGAAGTGTTTTGTAAACTTCTTATCCGATGTGTTTTTCAGACAAAACTGCAGGCTGAAAAGCCTTTAGATGGGTAGTTTCAAAGATGAGGGATTACATTCATCATCATGCTGCTTTTAAATTATGTTACACAAAATGTCAACATTCAGAGCAGCATCTGCCAGTGTTTGCAGTGACATAATTAGTTTGTTCTGCTTGGTAAAGTATATTTCTAAAATGTATAGTATTAATATGTGCTCTGCTAAGACTTAGCTCAGTAAAAAAACAGATTGAAAATAAAAATACAAATACCAATGCAAGATAGTTGTATGCGCATAAATGTTATCAGTAGAACCAGCAGAATGAGAACTTATTTGTGTTATAATATAGTTAGGATACACAAAAATGTGATGCAGAAATTACTAAGTCATGCTTCAAAAGTTGTGAACTTCTCACAAATTTTCCCCTTCGTTAATTAGTTGCTCTGAGATGCCATGCAAGATTTGGATAAGCAATGTCAGTCCCAGTGGGTGACTGCTGCACCCATATTACCCGGGTTAGCAAAGCCACCGAGTCGGCAGCGTAACTCTCCACCTGGCACTGGTGTTTCCCTCTGGCAGGGGTGAAGGCGAGCGAGGGGCACCCAGGGCAGCTGGAACCACAAGGGAACATGTGCCCGCTGCCTAAGATGCTTGCAAGTGCTTTCTTCTCAGAGTGGCACATGCTGTTTAATCTGCAGTGGTTTTTAGTAGAGTATTACCCTTCCTTGGGAGAAGCTGAGTGTCCAGTGAGGATAAGCTCAATCAAAAGGCATGGCAGTGATAGGAAAGATCTCGCTAGCAGGTAAAAGTAGTATCTGAGTTGTCTACTTTTATCCAAGGAAGAGTGAATGTAATACTAATCATCATTCTAAATTGCCCATCCATTTCCTCCTCCAGAGAGTTCTGTACCTGTGTGGGAACCTTCTGAAACCCTCCATTTTCCCTCTGCCTTAATGTAGCTCTACTAGAGACCTTTTGTTGTAGCCGTAATCACTGTAGAAGGGATGGGGATATTTAGAAAGTCTTTGTGTACAATACAAGGACATTATCTCCTGCCTGTTAAGGAGCCGAGCAAATTGCTCAGCACAGCACTCCATCCTTCTCAACCCTCTCTTCAGCAAAACAGGTAAGTTAGTGCTTGGCTGCTGAGTACAGTCATTGCCCAAGGCAAGAAATTCGCACCGTTTTAAGGTTAGCATTAGGTCAAAGAGCATGGCCTGACAGCTAACTATGTAGTATTCCCAGGATGCACTTTCCTGGGGATATTGCACAACATTAGCTGTAGAGCAGCTTTTGAAAACGGAGCTTAAAGAAAAGGTGTCAAGGAGATTTCTGAATCAGTAAAAAAAGTTACAGCCAGCAGTCACAGGCAATAATCTTAGCAGTAAACTTGTTGTGTAATTTGTTGGCAGTAAAGCCTGAACCACCTTTGAACCTGCATCTAGAAATGACAGAGAAAGGGCAAGTGAAGATGTGCTGGTCTGACCCCGTGCTGATGCCATATCCGCTCAAGTATGAAGTCAAGATCTCTGGAAATTCAAGTCAGGATGTCTGGCAGGTGATTCAGCTCTGTTCCCTCTGTTTCATGGTGGAGCAGTGCACGTCTGGGGGTCTCTTTGTGAGTCCTGGAGTTCTTACCACGCTGCCTGTCCTTGGGGTTGTGGTGCAGGTGGGCTGAGCAGCCCGGCTGGGCATGGCACGTGGTTCCCTGCCGAGCTGTCGTGCGCAGCAGAGCCTCGTAACATCAGTGCTGTGGTGCAGCTGCAGGCTGGACCTCATGTCTGTTATACTAGGAGAGCCATTGCCCTTTGGATTGTGGGTTACACAAACTCCCATCCTGCTTTTTGGATGCAGATCTGGGTTTTGTGAGGTCTAAAGGCAAAGGTCTCTCAGCAGAACGCAAATGCCATAATAGATGCGTGTGTAGTTAATATTTATAGCTTTTACAAGTGGGTTGCTTTTTCTTTTGCAACCGTACAGCTAGATCTGGGTAAAAAGTGGTTTATAATTAGCAGCCCATAACAAAATAACATGTTTTCCACTGGGGTATCCAACTTCTAACATATTCAAATTCACAGTAAATTCAAAGACAAGAGCTTTGTTTCACCCATCTTGCTACCTAAAAATAACAAATTTCTTTAGACTAACAATTTGTTTGGTCCTGTTGACTTCTTGCTCACTTGCTCTCATGTGCTTTTTTCTTCTCTCTCTCCTCCCTGACCCCTCCCCTGAAGTGTTACCCATCAATAATGGCTTTTGCTAATCCAACAGATGGTAGAAGTTGTCCTAGAAACCTCGCTGGCCGTAGGTGACGTGCTGCTCGATTCTTTGAGCTTCGTTCAGGTGCGCTGCAGGCGTCTGCATGGCCCGGGGTTCTGGAGCGACTGGAGCACGCCGTACAGCCTGCACCCGGCAGGTAAGCTGTGTGCAGTCACCCCGAGCAGTGAGCAGTTTCTTTTGGAATAGAAGGGATTTTTCCAGTTTTGTGGAAGGAACATGTGTGAGCATGTGCTGCATGGTGTGGTACAGTAATCTGTATGCATGAGGTGTGCTGAAAACTCCCCTGGAAATTCTTTTTTCCTGCTGCTTCTCTTTCCATATAGCTCTGCTTGTGATTCTGCTTTTGTCTCTGTAAAGAATCACAGAATCACAGAATGCTGAAGGTTGGAAGGGACCTCCAGGGATCATCCAGTCCAACCCCTGCACACGCAGGGTCACCTAGAGCACGTGGCACAGGACTGCGTCCAAGCGGGTTTGAAGATCTCCAGAGAAGGAGACTCCACAACCTCTCTGGGCAGCCTGTTCCAGGGCTCTGGCACCCTCACTGGGAAGAAATTGTTCCTTAAGTTCCTGTGGAACTTTTGATGCTTCAGTTTCCGGCTGTTTCCTCTAGTTCTGTTGGTGGCCACCAGTGAAAAGAGGCCAGCCCCATCCTCCTCACTGCCTCCCTTGAGGTACTTCTAGACACTGCTCAGGTCCCCTCTCAGCCTTCTCTTCTCCAGGCTGAACAGGCCCAGCTCCCTCAGCCTCTCCTCATAGACTTTTATTTTAAAAAATGCATTTAAGTAAAGACTTGAATTTAAAGGAATTCTGCAGTAATGCACGCAGACTCCAGGGCGGTAGCTTTATGAGTTTCCTGCTTTGCCTGGTTGCTCATTCACCAGGTCCCTGGTGTTCAGACCCAGAAGCAGTTCTTCCTCTAAAAGTTCTTCCATTTTAAAAGACACTTGGTAGTGTTAGTCCTCTACTTGATAGGAGAAATTTCTCCTAATGCCTTCTCTGCTAGCATAGTGCAAGGCTCTGGAGTTGAGCCCAAAGCATGGAAGGGAGGTTGGGATTTGTAGCCGTTGCACGTTACGGTGTGCAGGGCTGAGCATGGGCCTGCACGGTGTCCGCAGGCTGCTGCACGGGACCTTCCCCACCGTGAGCAATTTGGTACCCAGCCAGGGCAAGGCCTGTGACATGTGGCATGAAGTGAGGGCTCTCCTGGGCCCCGTCTGGGGCTCCTTTTGCCATCAGCAAAAGTCCATCAGCATCACTGGCGGCTCTTTGCTCCCTGCTGTTGTGGACTGGAAGAGAGATTTTGTTTTTGGCAAATCCTTGCTCGGTCATCGTGACCACTGACTTGCTCTGTATAATACCCCATTTTGGGTCAGCCTAAAGTGTCACTTTTTTCACATTGTTTTTTTTCATATTCTGATTATGGTTAACTGGAAATATCTTGGTCTGTGTTGTTGCTGCCTTCTGAACTGCCATGTGACAGTGATGAGTACTAGGTACATACTCATGCTTACTATAGATAAAACTTCCTCAATCAAGCACCCGAGTATGTAACTAAACCTTGCAGGGGAGGTCATCTTCCAGCAGAGCTGAAGATACTTGGACCCTTTTGGTTAGAGAGCATCTAACACAGGGTGTCTGATAACAGATTTAGAAGCCTAACTGACCTTTAATTTTTGGTTTTATAGATATAAAACAAGGCATAGCAAAATCATATATCTTTATGTGCATGAGAGAACAATAATTATATATTTTCATATTTTCAGGAGTTTATGAATGTCTTAAAACACAAGCATATATGTGAAAGAGGTACAGTAGATACTGTTGGGTTTTTTTTTTTTAACAGCCTGTTACGGGACATGTAATTTTATTAAATACACATCTCATCAGCAACATAATACCATTTTGGCAAGCCTGGTGGCAGTATAAAGAAAATAATTTCGTGCCTGCAGGAAGCTGCAGTTGGCCGCTTTGCCCAGTGACCAGTCTTGAAGCAGGGGCAGAACAGTGCAGAGCCCGGGGCAGCTGGGAGCAACGGAGGGGCAGGAGCAGGGACCTGCCTTACCTTCATATAACCACGTTAATACCAAATGAATAAATACTAAAATCAAGCAACTGGATTTTTGTACATCTGCCCAGTTTTATATTCTGATTTGTATTTAATAAGAAGGATCCAGATGAAGACAGTGTTGTAGTTCTGCTCTTCTGGTCAAGAGGGTCAGTGTTTCGGAAAGGTCCTAAGAACACCCGAGGTGGTTCCTGAATGACAGAACGCCAGCCCGTTCTGTTCAGGAATTTCCTGATGGTTTTGAGTCACCCTTCAACACTTTCTTTTGAGCAGGTGCCTAACGTGTGTAGCTTCCCTAAGTACCTGGCCCATTGGGGCTGTTTACCTGCTTCGCAGAATCAGGTGAATTATTTGTGGTACTGCTGCTACAATTTGGTATCCTCTGCGCTAATGAGACTGTAAAACAAATTTTGGAGATGCAAAATTCCAGACAGCTTAGAAAAGAGTGGAATTGGTAAATTTTGGAGATGCAAAATTCCAGACAGGAAAGGAGTGGAATTGGTAAATCTTTGAAATAGCTTCTTTTTTTTCTGCACTACTGCATAGTGAATCTGTCTTGGCATTTATCTCCACTATTACATTAACGGTTCAGCTAGTGTATGCCTCCAGCATCCTTGCACAGTGTAAAGATTTGGAGGGTTTTCCCTCAAAATCCAAATGTGCTTTTTCTTTTTCTTGGACTTTCTGTCATTTTTACTTGAAGACAAGCATTTGTTGCAGCATTCAAATAAGCTAGTTTTTCGGAAGTGCATAAGCACACTCATTTGCTTGGCACTGACACTTCAAAAAAAAAAAAGTGTTGAATAAAAAATATCATTGTTAACCTTGTTTCCCAGTAATTCATTTACAGTAGCCATATGCTGCCTGTTTCACTCATGCTGCTGTGTATTTTTTACTTTATTTTTTTTCCCCACTCCACTCCCCAGTGATTTTCTGCTCATTTCATTGCTGTTTGATAGGGGCCATCGAAGATTACTTTGATCAGAGAATTTATAGGCATTATTGAGGGGAGAGATTCAAGGTCTCATTTCTGCCAGTCTCTCCTCTATAGTCATTAATAGTATTTAAGCTGGAAGTAGCAGATGGTTTAGAAATACAACTGGATGGCAGTGATATTTATTATTGTCATGTGACTTTTATAATTTTTTTACAGTTCTAATTTCAAAGCCTTTTTTCTTCTTTTTTTTTCTTTTTTTCCTCCTTCCTTGTAACAGGAGTCCTGTACTTCCCTCCTAAGCTACTGACCAGCGTTGGCTCTAACGTTTCCTTTCATTGCATCTATAATAACAAAAATAAGATAATAGCTTCCAAGAAGATTGTCTGGTGGCTGAATTTAGCGGAAGAAATCCCAGAAAATCAGTACACGCTTGTGAATGATCGCGTAAGCAAAGTTACTCTTTTCAACTTGAAAGCAACAAAACCTAGAGGAAATTTCTTCTATAATGCACTGTACTGTTGTCATCAAAATAGGGAGTGTCATCACAGATACGCTGAATTATATGTAGTAGGTAAGATTCCTGATGATTTCCGTTTGTAATTTTTGTGTAATTTAATAGTAAAGTCAGAATATTTTGAACTCCAGTTACCTTTTATCAAGCAATAATGACTTGCATGTTGTTATATGAACAATTATATCTCTATTAATAAACTTTCAATGTGTTTTGATTAGATATGAATATCAATATCACATGTGAAACTGATGGGTACTTAACTAAAATGACTTGCAGATGGTCTGCAAACGCAAACACATTGCTCGTGGGGAGTTCTTTGCAGTTAAGATACTACAGGTGTGTATAGCTTTTAATGCACTCTTTATGTTTGGAAAGTGTTACTCTGGAAATACTGTTGCAGTAAACAATTCTGAGTAGGTGCATTTATAAAACATAGGCAGTTTCTGTGGGCCAGACTTTTTCCATGTGGAACTCCAGAGGTATTAGCTACATGTGCAAAATGGGGACACTAGATATCCAAGCGTAAAATGTGGACTTTATTTACCCATTCTTTAGCACTTGTAAAACTTGTAGATAAAATTTGGAAGTAGATTCTATAAATATGGCTTAAAACTAGAACAGAAAAATTAACTCTGTTGTGGGAGTTAATTTTTTTTCTTGGTAGTAGGTCTAGAGCTAACTAAACCAATATGCTTTTTAAGCTTCTCTCCTGTTTCAAGACAGTCTCCATTTCTGCTTCAACTGTGTGAGTGGATGTCAGATTTTTTTGGCTCTTCAAGTAAGTGTGTGACATAAATTCTTCTAGTTGCTCATATTTGTCATTTATAAAGAAAGAAGGGAAAGAATTGTTCACTGTGAGAGTGGCTGAGCGGTGGAACCCCTTAGTGGCCCAGAAATGCCATAGAATCTCTATTCTTGGAAATCTCAGATCTCAGCTGGACAAGACCGTGGGTGATTGATCTGAGTCTGAATTTAGCCCCACTTTGAGTAGGAGGTAGGATTTGAGATTTACTGAAGTCTGCATTTTAATCTCTGCTTTCCTAGGGTTCTGTATCTTTACATACAGATAGTTTATACATACAGGGGCAGGATTTAATACATTCCCAACTGAAAAAATAATCTAACTTACAAGGTCCAGCCGCAGCCGTTCTGCGAATCCGTCCTTTTCACGTAGTTTGGCCTGGCTCGTTTTCAGATGGGTGGGTAGAAAGCACTTTCTGAGTCAGGACCAAATTTCAAAGAAGGTGTGACAGTAAGAAAATGGTAAGTGCTAATACAGATCTTTCCAGACTAGTCTGACATAGTGGCAGAATGTCGCCTTCCCCCCCGCCCCAGAAATATTTGGGCACATGCATACCCAGGAACTGGGAGTCCTGTTAAGATCCT